GGTAATCCTACAGTTAGGGTAGGGGTAGTTAAGAAATTTAGTGTTAGTTTAAACTCTTAGAAGTTCGGGGAATATAAACGTTGAAAATATGCCGCACAGCCCTATATTTTGACCTTTGAAAAAAATAGAGTGCATATGAACTTTCCATTCTAGGATATGATTTTTTTCAAAATTTCATAGTAAAAGTGGTACAGTTTTGGTCGTAAAAGGTGTTCCTATGGGAAATTGCATTGTCAATATTTACAGAAATGCAACCTATATTGGGTGGAAAAAGAGAACATACAGAAGTTTACCAAATTTGGTTTATCTGACAGATTTTAATGAAATTAACTCAAATATGAAGTTTTATAAATATTTCATGAAGATTGAGAAAATCCTGGGCCTTAACAATGATGACTCAGCATTAATTCACAGTTTACAGTATGCATAGTTTTACTTAAAGCCCTGTATGCAAAATAAATTCATAATATATGCATATTTGTAAGTTAAATTGTTTAGAAGTGCTTACATTTACTCTTCGCAGTCATTGAAACTCAAAGATCCTTCCTGAATATTATTGGTGGGGTGTTTTTGTCCTGTCAATAACCCAAAAGTAAGTCGTAACACCTAAATCTACTTTTTTGTCACCGTGACATAAATATACAAGCTAGAAATACAAAAATATCTCAACAAAACTTACAATAGTGTGTCCTATCCTGAATATGTACTTAATATTCCATATTGCTAGAAACAGCAGAATAATTTAGAAAATTTGAGACCCCAGGGGCAAAAAACAGAGAAAATTGCCTACCCCCTGGGTCATAAAACAAATAATTTAACTTGTAAATGCTATGATTTTATGATTTTAAAGGTCTTTATATAGAAACAATAACTGTGCTTGGAAGTTATGCAAAATTCAGATATTAGCAGTCATTTCTATAAAATTTTAAGTGAATTTGTACATCAGACTGGTATCTGCATACATACAACTATTGCAAATATGGCTTTGTTTTAACACTTCTAGTTCATATATTAGCTAAATTATGTCAGATATATGGTAAGAGATGATATAGTTGTGACAAAAATTTTAAACTGACCATTTGAAGCAGAAATGGTGAACTTTCATTGACAACTGGCATACAGTAAGATGTGGACTGGAGACAGAGGTAGGATTGGATACTTCATATAATCTTGAATGTTGGAATGATTGACTGCTAAACATTACATTTACAGTATTCTGAAATGCTTTCAATTTGTTATCAGAACAGTTTTAAACAGGTTCTAGGCATTTCATGTCAGAAAACATGCAAATAGGGTAAGCTGGCAATAATTAAAGTCTTGTTTTCAAATTCTTTATAATACTGAAACAGGGGAGGGGGTATAAAATGTACAGTAAATGAAAACTTAGAGTATATGCAGTGATTTCTTTAAGCTGATAATTCTGATAAATAAGTATTAATGTGCGAAAAAGTGTTTTTTTAGAGTTTTCTATTTGAATAAAAGGCTGTATAGGTTGCACTATGTAAATACAGCTGTTTCTCAAACCACGCCTCTTTTGGGGAGATATAGAATATTCATAGATAATTAATTTTGTTTACATACTGGTTCCCAGTTATGATCTCTATGTTTCATCTCATAGAGAGATTACTTGGGAATGTTACCAGTAAATATACATATGCATATTGTTTATATTGAAATCTGTGGTAATCCTACAGTTAAGGTAGGGGCAGTTAAGAAATTTATTGTTAGTTTAAACTCTTTGAAGTTCGGGGCATATAAACGTTGAAAATATGCCGCACAATCCTATATTTTGAGCTTTGAAAAAAATAGTAGTGCATATGAACTTTCCATTCTAGGATATGATTTTTTTCAAAACTCGATAGTAAAAGTGGTACAGTTTAAGCCGTAAAAGGAGTTCCTATGGGAAATTGCATTGTCAATATTTACAGAAATGCAACCTTAAGTGGTTCATTTAAAACACCTTTTCAGTATGGATACAAACACACATTTCTAAATGAGTAACTTTGTTTTATCAAAAGAACTATAACTTTTATAGCAAAATTATGCATTCATAGCACTTAATTACACATATAGTTGGCATGCATGTTGATTACTTATAATGTATAATTTTATATGTAACATTTAACATGTAACATTTGTTAGTAACATTTTGCATGTAGCATTTGTTAGTAACATTTTATATGTAGCATTTGTTAGTAACATTTTATATGTAAAATTTGTATGCAACATTTTATATATAACATCTTACATGTAACATTTTATATGTAACATCTTACATGTAACATTTTATATGTAACATCTTACATGTAACATTTTAAGACAAAAAGAGATATTCACCTTCTACAATGTTGTACCTGTTAGACTTGTGAAAAATAGTTTCATAGGCCATTCAAAATAAATGTTCTCTATTTGCTGCATTCTTTTTTAAAACTCAAAATAATATTCAGGTAATGATTCTGGAATTCTTTTTTTTTAAAGAGAGGGTTGATTATACTACATTCTTTGTATTTTGCAATTCAGTTATAATTGGCAAAAGTTTTGAAATAGATAATTATTTATTCATAAACCACTGTTCACGGAAAAAAATGCACATATAAAATGTCTAAGAATTTCCGTTAATTTTGATTTCTGAAAATTATAGAGTTATCTCCCTTCATTCTATTTTAACAGAATTAATATATGATTGTCAAAACATAATTACAAAATATATATTACTATAAAAAAAATACCTAACTCTTTATATTACAGGAGTTAATATTTCACAGAGTTTCTTAAATGTTCAGCAGAAGACAAATTACATTGTTTGGCCTTTAAACGTAAAACAACTAGTATATGACTATTCATGGTATTCAATTTTTAATACAAGATGAAGTGTCCCTGCCTATTTCATTGGAGCAATTTTTGTTAAAAGTTATCTCCAATTTGTTATAATGTTTCTATAAAGTTTATACAGCAAATTTTAACATTTTTTCTTTGAAAATATCCAAGTTTGTAATACTTGAAATTCAAGTGTAATTTTCTATAACCTTTTGATAAGATTTACAAATAACTATTATCTTAATATATCTAAAATGTCATGGGTAATACATAACAAAGAAGAATAACTCTTACATAAGTAGGAGACAACTCACATTTAGTCAAAAATGGGATTTAATATTTTTTTTAAACAATCACAACGATGACATTTAAACTTTATAACAAGTTCACAGTAAGATATACATTTACATATACCGGTATTACTTTATCTTATCACTAAATTGTTGTAAGCAGATACTATAATATATGAGTTCGGAACTTTGATTTTCATGAGAAGTTGTAGTATGGATATGCAGTTGCATATGACATTTGACCTTTTGTATGTTCATTGTCCCCTTCTTCATGCATGTCTGATTTTCCATAAACACATTCTGCATAAGATGGTGGAGCTAACAAATATATAAAATAATAGTTTAGCATATTATGCAGCTTCATCCAGAGTGATACGATATCATTTAAGGAAGATAATTATATTTTAATGCAAAAATAAGAAAAGAAGAGTTAAATTGAGCTTTTTAGTTGTTTTGATTTGAGTGTTTAATACTATGCATTGTTGAAATATTGTCTTGGAGAGAACATGTGGTCATCATAGTGACACTAAACATCATTTAAAACACTTCATGATTTATGTTTGTCTATTGAAATGATGGAAGTCTTGTGATTATTAGGAAATATGTCTTAGATTCTAAAGGTTCATAAAAAAAGGAAAAGAATTATGCAGAATCCTGTGTCTTTCCTATGACTGCTGCTTTCATTACAGAGGTGTTATGTTGACTGCCAAAATCCCAGTCAATTTATCAGTAAAAATAGAAAAAAAGTAAAACAAAGAATTTGCAAAATTATCCGCTGGATATTGTCTTTTGATCATAAGAAAAGCTTCTGAAAGGAAGCTGACACTAGAGGAATGTACAAATTCTGTTTTTAAAATGAAACTTAACAAATCACCGGGTATTGATGGTCTTCCAATTGAATTTTATAGATCTTTCTGGTCCAACTTACAATATTTTGCTGTAGATGTCTTTAATCATTGTTATGAGAAAAAAGAATTGACAAATTCACAGAAACTAGGATTAATTACCCTTATTTACAAGAAAAATGACCCTTTAAATTTAGACAATTATAGACCAATTACTTTATTAAATGTAGATACCAAAATTATAGCATATTCTCTTGCACAAAGACTTAAACCAGTATTGCATAAAATCATTCACAGTGATCAAAACGGATATGAAAAAAAACAGATATATTGGGTTTAATATTAGACATATCCAAGATATTATAGACTATTCAGAAAAATTCAACGTAGACGGGGCAATCCTTTTTTTAGATTTTCAAAGGCTTTCGACTCGTTAGAATGGGAATTTATGTATTGTTCATTAAAGAAATTTGGCTTTCAGAAATCTTTACTGAAGTGGATAAATACTTAATATACAGATATAAAGGGTTGCATATTAAATAACGGGTGGATTTCAAGACCCTTCAGCATTGAGCGCGGTATCCGTCAAGGGTGTCCCACGAGTTCTATAATTTTCGTTATTGCTGTTGAAATTTAAGCCTGTAGATTAAGACAAGATAAAAAATTTAAAGGTTTTCAAATCAAACTAGATAATAAAACCCATACTCTAAAGTTAAGTCAGCTTGCAGATGACACCACTTTATTTTTAAATTCAAAACAAGAAGTTTCATTAACTTTGAACATTATCGAAATTTACGGATCACTTTCAGGCCTAAAGCTTAATCGAAATAAAACAGAGGGGATAAGGCTCGGAAATCTAAAGTCCTGTAAAGATAAAGTTGAAAACATTAAGTGGACACAAGAACCGATAAAAGTATTAGGAATATATTTTGGACGTAATAAAAATGAGTGTAAAAAATTAAACTTGCAAAGACAATTCGAAAAATCGGAAAAATAATTAAAGATTGGAATAAAAGAAAAATAACTTTGTTAGGTAAAATAACTCTTGTTAAATCACTAAACCTACAAAATATAACCAATGTTGCATCAGTAACAGAAATTGATAAAGAATACCTCGCAAAATTAAAAAAAAAATAATATATAGTTTTATATGGAATAATAAACCAGAAAAAGTTAAAAGAGCTATAATAAGTAAAAATTATCAAGCTGGTGGACTCAAAATGATAGACATAGATAAATATATAGAATCCATAAATATTAATTGGGTAAAAAGACATTGATAATGAAGATTCATCACCCAATTGGAAAGTCTTACCAAAATTTGACATAGACAAGTTTGGACAAGAATTCCTTATATCTAAAATGGACTTTAATAACAATATTAATTTGATTGATAAACTAAAAGAAATTGTTCAAGAATTCTACTTACAAATAATCATATCATGGATAAATTCAAAATCTGAAAAAGAATCAGATCGACTAACATATAAGCAAATCAGACAGCAACTAATACGGGGCAATAAGCATATCAAATTAAATGGTAAATGTCTTATTTTCAAAAATTGGATAAACAGTAAAATTTTATTTGTGAATGACATAATTGATGATAAAGGAAAAATTAATCAAAATAATATTTTAGATAAACTATCTTGCCATGCTAATTGGTTTTCGGAATATACTAAATTGATGAAAGCAATACCAATACAGTGGTTACAAGAGCTAATAAAAGAAGAATCAATTAAAACAAAATTCGCTACCGACTCCGAATTTAAATTCCAAGATAGAGAAGGAAAAATGGTACCAATAAAAACATTTTCCTTCAAAGATATCTACATCTCGCTTTTAAATAGATATTATGAGAAAGCAATAGGATATCAAATATGGGACATAATTCTTAATTTAGATACCAATACAAGGAAAAGAGAACAAATGTTGTACTTTATCTTTAACTATATCCAAGATAATAAATTGAGAATGTTAAGATGGAATTTTCTACATTACATTTTACCAACCAAACAATTACTTTTCTCTTGGAAAATAACTAAAACTCCTTTATGTAATATGTGTAATGTCATTGAAGATTATGAACATTACTTTTTGACATGCAAATATCTGAAATCATTTTGGGATCAAATAAAACTAATACTAGACAAACTTAAAATAGGACATCATATAATATCACTTGCATCACTTTTGTATGGATACAAGATAAACGATACAAATTATTTTAATATTAACGATTTTCTAACAATCATACTTTTTACTATATATAAAGTATATTATATATCCGAGCAGAAAACAAAACAAATTAATGTGTTTGAAAGTTTTAAAAATGAACTTCTCCAACATTACGAAATATTGACAAATAAACAAGGCAAATATAAAAACTTCAACAATTTGGTTGCCGAAAAAATTAATTTATCTTCTTAATTAAGATTTATAATATATCATATTAATTTCTTTTTATTCTGTTACACATTATTTATTAGCAAAACTGTATATTGTGTACTAACAAGTACTAACTTTATCACTGAAATGCTATATACTAACGTAAACGAGGCCGGGATAAGATATCGGTACTTTATGTATCTCTAACAAATGTAAATTTCAAATAAAATTATATAGAATTTAAAAAAAAAAAAAAGAAAAAAAAGAAAAAAGAAAAGCTTCTGTCCAAGTTCCATGAAATGTCTTGAAGGTTTGACAAAATTTTCAATGTCTTAAAAAAAAGTTTAACGACAGTCTGAACCTAACTTTTGATGCTGCTGGTGTGCCAACAGAATGCTGTATAGCTAAATCTCGCTTCAAATACAAAAATGTTGCAAGCTTGACTAAAAATGGGAAATAGGAACATCTATCAGTAATATGATCCTCTAAAAAAAATATTGCCATACAGTCTTTCTTAAAAATAAAATTATACTTACGTAATTCTGGTGCTGATGGAAATGCTCCTGGACCTTGACCTTTTACATTAATATTTATGGCATGTGGTGCAATAGCTGGTTGAGGTTGCATGATACTTTGAAATGAACTTCTCAATGGTATTGATCCAATGATGATATCGACGGGAACTACTAAACGTGTTGACACACTAGACGGGTTGACGTGTAACTGAAATAAAAAGTAATATCATGAAAATCAACTGTAAGAAAAGAGCACTCATAAACAAATTTTTGGTGAGTGTTTCAAGATCTAATGTTTTCATGAATAGCCTAAAGATGGAAGCTTTAGTAACCACTCGCTACAGGTCAAATTGAATTTCTAAATTTTGCCTCTCTAAGAGACATATTAAAATATTCATATGCTAAAAGATAAAGGGGTATCCTCTCTTCTAGTTTTTACTCAAAAGGTAATTGAGATACCCCTTATTCATTAAGATGTCTATTAATGGAGGGCGTTCGGTTGATCCCTCATTGACACATGCCTGTAGTTCCTGTTATTTGTTTTACTAAATAGCATTTCCCTAAGTTGCTTAACAGAAGGAAATATTCCTAAATATAACATATAAATAATGCAAACCCCTTAATACATGTACATTGTGACTTGGATGGAGAGTTGTCTCTTTGGCACTCATCTTCTTATTTATACATGTATCAGCAATGTATTTGTTTGCTTTAATTGAAACATAGGATAAAATATTTCTGTCAAAAGATTTATCCACTATTTTTCTAGACTAGGGGTGAAGTAGACTAAGTTTACATTTCCTGTTTAACCCACATTGGCCAAGAATTTAAAGATAATCAAAATACATGTATTAAGTGTGTAGACAACAAACTTCAAGCAATGGCAAGGACTCACTCTAGCCTTATGTATCAACTGAGCTAAAAATTAAATACAATTTTTAAAACTAATAATTACCAGATTAAGCTTGACTTCTACAGAACATGCTGTATCTGACAAATTCTGTATTTCACCCTGAAGGTAGATAGCTTCCCCTGGAACATATCCAGATTTGTCTACTCGTAAAACGCCAGTTATTGGTCCTGATTCGCAACATAAACAACATAGAGTCTTTGCTACCTGATTCTGCATTGGTCGCTACAATTATAGAATTTATATATTATAGAATTTATATATCATATATACGTAAGATGTGACTTAAAATCTAGAATATAGATTCCACCACTGCAACAAGAGTGTTACAATATTTCTCCACTGGCGACAGTTAAATTTTATGTTTTAAAGCGTGAGGCTTGCCAAGCTTTTTAGATAATTAAAATTTAACGTTGAGAGTGGAGAAAAATCGTAATACACGAGTTATAGTGGTGGAATCTGTTTCTCTAATGATTTTATCCTTCCTTCTCAAAGATTTGCAGAAAGTTGTATTCTTTATATGTGACGTCATTAGGCATGGTCGCCTTTTTTCATGACGTCACAATAGGGAATTCAGAAGAAACCAAGAAAATTTTACATCATAATTAAATTTTGACCAATCATTTGCCGAGAACAGTTATTTCAATAGTGATGAGAACAATTTTTCACAATTGTCTGGGAAATGTGAATATAATGCAAAAATTAGAGAAACTTAGTTCTTGTTGATCAAATTTGTTTATTTGTTAGCTACTAGATAATGCTATTTTATCTACCTTTTACATGTAGGGTTGTTGATTAAACTTCTTGGTTTGTTTCCCAACAGAAACTGCATCAAGTACTCTCCACCTTTATTTTATTTGATTATGCCAATAAGAAAATGAACTTTTGAGAAAATTAATCATGTTTTGTTAATCTAAAGAATCATACTCTTAATTCAGTTATGTAAACTATTCATAAACTAAAAATACTGTGGATTCAATATTATTATGTGTATTGCACCAATTTTCATGAATTGCATTGCTATAGGTGAACCATGACTTGTATTGATCAATGAAATACAGTTTCTTAAAAGCTTATGTGCTGACTATGTCGAAACCACGAAATTAAGAATCCATATAAATGCAACTTTGCCTCAATTCACAAAAGCTGGTACCCTTGACAATAAATGAATCAATAGTATTTAAAAGATATATGAATGTGTAACCGAAGCTTCTGGAATGGCATTCAAATCTAGCAGAGAAACAACTGTAAATGGCAGTTTAGTGTGGTGATAGAATTTCAAAGGCTTGTCAAGGGTGGCCTTCAACAAGTATCTGACCTGTCCATACTGGTGTTCAAATGAAGATGGTAAGGTGGGTGGCAGCATAAACTGGAAAGGAAAGTTATGTTGTCCACTAGGCAGCTTGTCACCATGTCCTAAAGCTAACATAGAAATATAAGCTATGAATAACATTCTGTGCAAAAAAAAATAAAAATCTCAAATGTCTTTAAAATTATTTGTTTTGATGTCCAAAAAAATGAAATACATTCCATTTATAAATTCAGAGGTAGAAATGTTTGTGCCAAGACTGAACATGCTGAAAATGAGATTCCGTTCCATACAAGATATTCTTAAATATTCCTACACTATAACAAAAACATGTAAAAATGGTTTTTTAAAAACCAGTCAGAGTCTAGTGCCCAATTTTTCTGACAAAAAAATTACTCAATAAAGCATAGAGGGGAACACAAAACTGTTTTAATAGAATCCAAACATTACGTCAATAATTATTAAAATTTAATTCTAAATAGGGATTAGAAATATTAGATGAGTCAAAATTTGGTAAGATACTTCAAAACCATTCCATAAAGGATGAAATTTGATGTTAAAGATCCTTGTAATTGGTACAAATGAAAACAACCTTTTAAATAATGATATATTTGGTATAAATGATATAAATGTTCCACTTTGTGCTTCGATATTTCCTTTCTTTGTCTGTCTTTCTGATTTCTGTATTCTTGAGTGCTAATTTCTACATGTACATAGACTTGTATGATATATTGTAAACACAAAAATGCAAATAGTTCTGGTTATGAGCATTAGAATAGTTGGTTAAGCAACTAACTGTTATGACATGACCAGATCAAAGGTGTAATAATAATAGCATGAAGTAGTATTTGAAATAAACAAACCAAAAATGTGTCAGAAAAGTTTAAGTTTTTTTTTTATTAGTTAAAGAATTTAAGGATATTGTTTTATGCAAATGATGTAAGATTGAATTTCCAAACTGTTTATATTTGATTTTGATTTTGATTTTTTTTTAAATGAAAAAAAGCAGAAAACATATTACCACATCTTTTATATTTTTATTGATATTTCATTGATTGATGGTTGTTTTTTTCAAAAGCTCAACTGCTGCCACGAATTTTGGACATATCTGTTCATTATCACATATCACATATATATGTAGTTGAATATGATACATTTCTTATCACATATCACATATAAATGTAGTTGAATATGATACACTACTTATCTCATATTGGTCACAGATTTATCGTGTTATCATTGTACCATGTCTTGACATGTAGAACATTAAAGTCATGTATAAAAATATTGTCTCCTTGTTGCCTTTTTGTTAAAATATTCCAAATTAGAGGCGTTTGAATAACACTTTCCTGACTATTTTCTAAATACAGATTTTTGGTTTCATGAATCAAATTTGCATGGTTTAACAGCTTTATCATAGTTCATTTTAAACATAGTTATGGTACATTGTAAAAAAAAACATCTATGTGTTTGCTTCATATGTTTCTTAACGCATGTTTAGTCAAGCAACAAAATGTTGGATATAAAAGTTAAAAGATCAAGCCTTAGACATAGTGGGAATACCTGCTTATAGTATGGTGATGGCAGACAGGGAAAAGTAGATAACCCATAATAATCATAAATTTCTTCCTGTTAATGATTTATTGGTAGATAAGATTAAGATCCTTTATCAAAATCATTATCAATCCTCAAAGCTGGTATCGTTTCAGTAATTACTCAATCACAAGCTCTTTTATGTGGTTATGGTCAGACAGTCTGATAAAGTTAGCTCACTTTGAAATATGGCCTATGTCACGATGTGTTTGTTCCCAGTGAGGTGTTTGTGGATTGACTGCTTTGATTCACCACCAATGACATTCACATTTTTGCAGGAGATATTGCACAATATATTGGACCCCCTTTGGGTGGCATAATGAATATATATATATCTGTCCAGCATTTACATCATGGCCATATGTGAAGTATTTAGACAATTTTGTTTCATTAGTCGGACAATAAGTTCCATTTTTATAGAACACCATACTATTGACCAACCCAATAAGCAATATGTCCTTTCATAATATAATACTGTTATCTGTAATGATGCGTTATTGAGAAGCCATTCCATAGAATGGCACAACACTATAAATAAATTAGTAAATAAAGACCAAACATTTATTTGATTGGCTAAAATACTGATGTACTCTCACATTCAATTACTTGTAATGAATGTAGCTTGAGTGATTACCTAATGCTTACTTCAAATACCTAGTCTGTATGCCGTCACATCATCAATATTGGTCACGGTTGCAAAGGCATTATCAAACACAATGTATAACATGAAAAGCATCTCTTGTTCACTTCTTCGGTTACAGAAAACCAGCAACACACAGATGTTTACTCTGGTGCATACCTGGTAAATATTTCAAAATTTATAAAATATCAAAATATAGATTATCTTGAACACAGCGAGAAAATCCCTCAAACAGAGGCGGGCATCAGCAGGCCCCTAAACAATAATGTATACTAGTTTATAAATAACTTATAATTTTTACAGTATGATGATATTTAAGTGAATTCCAAATTTTCTGAAATGGTGCTTAGCGGGCTGATATGAAAATTTATTAACTGCTTCTGGTTATCATTGCATGCCTTTCCATAACATTTGCATGGCATTTTGACGTAAATTGGCAAATTCTGGAAAAAACACCTCAAGGTACGTTTTCAGTGAAAAAACCCAAGAAGGATAAAAATACAACTATTGAAAAACAGGAAAATATATTATGATAAATATAAAACAAATAATACAATAAATGCATTTTTTCAAAGTTTGAAAAATAGTTCTTGTCTGTATTTCTTCTGCTGAAGTAAATGATGAAAAGATCTTTTACATGCCATTTTTGTCTAGCCTGCGAAGACATAGGTATTACTATCCGATGGTGGAGGCGGATAGTAATAGGCAATGTAAACTATTTGTATAAAGCTTTCAGAAGGTAGAAGACCTGGAAGCTTCATACCTTGAATGCATATACCTTATGTTACGAAGTTTCCATCTGGCATATGTCCATGGTCCTTGATCTCATTTTTATGGTTCAGCGACTGCTTGAAAAAAAATTATTGTTTTTTTGTAATATGAATTTTTCACTTATTATGAGTAATAGGATAACTATATCTGCAATGTCTACATGTCCGTCAGACAGTGTTTACCTAACCTCGACCTCATTTCATGGAACAGGTTACATGATTAGGTCCGCATCTCAGCTACTATACGTAGTTGGTCAACTATATGTGGTGTATGGCATTATTGTGATGGATACATGTCAGTCTGGTAGGTTTCATCTGACCTTGACCTCATTTTTATGGTTCATTGGTCAATGTTAAGTTTTCGTGTTTTGGTCTGTTGTTCAAAAACTATAAGCAATAGGTTAACTATTTTGGTGTATGGTATGCTAGTAAAGTGTTCATGTCTGTCTGGCTGGTTTCGTTTATTCTTGACCTCATTTTCATGCTTCATTGGTCAATGTTAAGTTTTCGTGTTTTGGTCTGTTGTTCAAAAACTATAAGCAATAGGTTAACTATTTTTGGTGTATGGAATGCTAGTGAGGTGTTCATGTCTGTCTGGCAGGTCTCGTTTATTCTTGACCTCATTTTCATGGTTCATTGGTCAATGTTAAGTCTCTGTAGTTTGGTCCTCTTCTCAGATACTGTAAGTAATAGGTCAACTATATTCGTGTATAGAATGATTGTAGCTTTTACATGTCTGCCTGGCAGGATTCATCTAGCCTTGACCTCTTTTTCATGGTTCATTGGTCAATATTTAGTTTTCCTGGTTAAGCCTAGTTTAGTTTAGATATTATAAGCTATATTTGGTGCATGGAATGATTGTTAGTTGTACATATCTGTCTGTCATGTTCATCTGACCTTGACCTCATTTTCATGGTTCATTGGTCAATGTAAAGTTTTCACAGTTTGGTTTGTTTCTTTGATACTATCAGCAAAAGTTCAACTATATTTGGTGTATGAAATAATTTTGATGTGTATATGTATGTCTGTCAGGGTTTATCTGACCTTGACCTTATTGTCATCAATCATTGATAAAGTTAAGCTTAGATGATACTTGCAGTAAAACTTTATCTTTAAGACTTTCAACATTGAATCAATTATGATCAGTACAGCAGGCGAGCCATTTCAGCGTGTGCACTCTTCTTCATACCAGTCTTTCTGCTCTTGGGCTGATATCATTACCTAGTGCCGATAAAGGGTCTAATATAAAAATGCCAAGTAATAATCTATACATATCTCCTTGAGGTACAATAAAGTGTATACGATATGGCCCTTCAATATCAAACACCCTTAAACAATATAATCCCTCGAGCAGAGCTGTTGGGATTATATTGATGTCTAGGGTTAGTACGGGTATACTATTGAAAACATATGATGTCCTTGTGTATTTAGTCAAAAGGAATAAGGGCTTTAAGGCCCGTTTTTGGCCCAAGACAATAAAGCTTTTGAGAATTTTCAAATTTGCACCTTATTTTTAAATGTATAAGGTCAAGAAATATAAATGAATAACAAGATGTTTTATGTCAAAAGATCACAATTACGTCATTATATGAACCTTTTTATGTAAACAAGAGAACGGCTGTATTCATTGAGTTTTTCGTCTATATTTCTTGGGAACAAACATCTTGTGCAGTGAAGAAACAACAAAATAAATTTTATAGAAGCTTTATCCCTGAGGCAAAGTTGAACTTAGATAGATTTGGCTATTATCTTTAGGTCCTTTTAGGTCATATAGCTCTTCAAAAGTATGGTTCTTATGCATCCTTGGCTTTCAAACATTCTGCATTTAACGTTCCTGATGAAGGTAAGTAAAAAAAAAGCGCGTTAGACGTTATTTTCTTTTTCGATTATAGCTATTTACATAATCTCATCAAATATAAAGTTGTTTCGTTGGTGCTAACATATACTTTTCCAATCCAAATTATGTTGATGAAAAACTAAGACAATTTACAAAAATACATATTTCGTCATGGAATGTTGCCATGGTTACTAGTAAATGTGATTTTTTTTCTTCTTCATAACACCTTGTACCTAATATGCCAGAAAAAATTTAAGAAAATATATGGTAACTTTTAATTTGCACTTATATTTGGACAAATAAG